GTCGTAGATACGTGCCCAGTATTTTGATGGACTCGAACGAATGCACGAAACTACTTGTTATTGTTGTGAGATGTGTGTTAGAAGACGATAATAAAAATGGTCATGATCGATGACGACAATGTCCGTAAAAAGTGTGAAACTGCCGGTTGACCGTAAGGAAATGGGCGCTTAAAATATTGAGCAAAACATTTGACGCGGCAAACAGCTGTTGTGAGTTAGCGCGCGCCACGTCCAGTGCTCTGTGATGTGTGCGCGGCGTCACGCCGTCAATGGGTCAGGTTATTTACCCCTCCTTATCACCTTTTGTTTTGCTCAAATACTTGGCTCACTTCGAATAGCTATTACGGCTTCCTGGCGTTCTCGACTCGCTTAAGAATTCACAGCCACGTTTCCAAGTCGAGAAATAAGACTACGTTTGTAATGTTGGGGAATGTGGTTGGCGACAAAGTGAAATATTAGACGCAGCTCATTGGAAGGGATGACCGACAATAAAAGCATCGATAGCCGATCGCCGATACTGGTCCTTGTGTCCACATTAGCATCTCGACGCAGGAGTGTGTGCAAACAGTGAGGGTCATCCGATGAAATGTTCAAAGGCTTTTAGTTCCCGAGAATTATTAAATGAAGGCCCAGGATCGTAATGCAAACACGGTTTGTTTGTCGAGGCAGAACCTGTTGCTTTGTCGACTTTCGATGCAGGCTTCGACTTATTGGCGGTTGTTTTACGTCCGCCAATGTTAATGTCAGCGTGGCCGTTAACGCCACTGCAACATTGTGGATCCATAGCTCCGCATTGTTGGATTTCATTCAAATGCATGCGATGAGTGCTTTTATGTCGCGTTATATAAAACTTCATTGTGGCCATAAAGCAGCTACTTCGAGATTTACGAGCAATATCATAAAATTACAATAGAACATGCGAATACCAGGAAAGATATACAATCAGAAATTCCTCGCTTACGTAAATTTGCAGAATTAACGCATTGCTCAAATGATTGACGCAACTGAGAAGCACTCGGCGGTCTAGGCAAACATAGCCCTGTTTAGGCAAATAGTAGCAAAGATCCCGGGTGCTAACTCTCCTAATGTGTGGACAAAGCTCTTCGTGACGGATCCTGCTAATAAACGTTCCAGGGATCGTGTGCGAACATTTACATCATCATGTTTTAAATCCTTTGTTCCTATCACCTCTACCTGAAAAAAAGCACGCCTTCGCAAGATATCTGCGTTAAATTATGTTTGGTATTTTATTACATATTTGTTTTGCATACTAAACATGTACACGACATCTTTCATTACAAGTTTCTATTTGATTATGTCTCATAAAAGCCGCTCGCACAGACACGATTATGATTTCTATCACAAATATTAAATTGTTCGCGGTTTTGCCGATAGACGACTTCGTGACGACTGTGTAAGATTCAATATTCGATGTCGTAGTTTCTGGATCATCGGAGGTGTTTGTGTAATCTCATAGACTATTCAGCTTAACTTCCATAAGTGTAGCATTTTTACCTTCATTGATATGAGCTTATTATTTTGCAGCGTAAAATGGTTCTTAAGGGCTATGGATTACAGTTAGTTATCGTTTTTTGGTTAAATTGTCGAAGTGTTAATCGGCGGTGGGGCCTCCCGTTTATATTAGAGTTAATATGGGTTCGGAAATCTTCCGAGAATGAGGTTCAACTGTTTATCTTAAAACCTTTCCTTTAATGGCTCCGAATTGACGAATTCCTTTACTCTTACTTTCATTTTGGGTTTGACGATTTAATACCTTCGACCTGACCCTAATCCATCAGCTTGATCCATTGATGTTGCGTAGATATGTGGGATCTCTCTGCTACTTCTACCGCATTTACCATGGAGAGTGTTCAGAGGTGTTGTTCGGAATATTACCTGCAGCTGAGTTTGACTATCGGACGTCAAGGCAGAATATAAAATACCATTCGTATCACCTCGACGTCCGTTGTTCCACAACTGAGCAGGCAGTTTTTGCCGCGGACCACCACTATGTGGAACCAGCTGCCCACTGAAGTATCTCCGAACCAATTCGGCTAGGGTACTTCAAGAAAAGAGCCTCTTCCTTCTAAAAGACCGGCAACGCACTTGCCTTCTGGCAATGTGAGTGTCCATGAGGGTCGGTATCACTTACCATCAGGTGACCCACCTGCCTGTATATACATGAAAAAAAGCCCTTTTACAATTTCGATTGAGCTATGTTCAGGATTGATATTTTCGAGAAAAGACCATAGACAAGTGGAATTCCGGTCAGTATTATTGACTCGTTGGTTTTCAGTTAAGTCAACATCAAACGGTTAATGTTATATTATAAAATCACGAGCGATTTCGACAAAAGCCCATGGGCTAGCGATTCTGTTTGATTAGACATTAGCACTTGTTGTGCTAACGTATCAGTAACTGGACCTGATAATCGTTTTAATAATTGCTATTCTCAATTCCCGTTAAACCGTTGGATTCCCATTAGTAGGTACAATATCAGTGAGACTATTAGGCAGGCTATATTACAAATAATCATTTCACCATTTTAAAGTATATTTTTAACCGTTTTTAATGGTGGTTTGTGTACCTGATTATAAAAATACAAAAAACTTCACCGTTCGAGAATGTTAAATGCGCCCATAGTAAGAAATTCCATTGGTGCACAGCCGGGATCGAACTTCAGGGATGAGAGTCGCACTTTGAAGCCACTAGGCCAACACTGCTCAACCTGATAATAAACTATTGAAAATTATAAGGAAGAACTTTCTATACAAGTTAATTTTTTGTATTTAAATATTTTTACTAATAAATTTCACGAAATAAACCAATTAGTTAATAAAGATTTTATAAATTGGCTTCAAAAAAACACAAGTGAAACCGCGGTCGGAAGCTAGTCATATATCATAATATCGATAGAGCGTTTATATTAAATTGCCGTCTCAAAAAAGTCAGACGGAATTCAGTAGCAGTCGAAACCATGAGAAAGTCGTGTTTTATAATAATTTTAATTGATTTGTGGGCTCCGTAGAGTCAGAGAAACTCATGAAGTTTTCATTTGTTTTCCTTTTCAGAGTAATGTTTTCCTACGTAAAGGGACAGTACCTACACCGGAAAAAAAATATTTACTGCCAATTTTCCTACGAAATGTTAAGTATAAAACATGTGTTGTAATGAATTTAAATTGTTTTTTTAAAGAACGGGGCATCTGTCAGGAGGCTCACCTGTTGTTGAGTGATACCGCCCATGGGCACTCAATACTCAATTGCTTATAAATAATTCGCAAATTAGGGGCTTGATAAGTATTCCCGGAAAAGAAATTGTTCTGTGTTGCTTGACAGATCATCTCCTTACAATTACAAAATATTCAAAATCTTTCGTTCCGTAAACACGATCCCAAAGGAACCCAAAATCAGGGAATCGAGTTCGCGTGACGATTGGAGCGAGGCATTTATCCGAACGAAACATTTCACCGATAATGACCCCACAATATAATAATGCGAATAATAAATAAAAATCGAAATAAAATGATAATTTTAATGTCGTAATTGTGGGCCGCGGGCGGGCTCCTCCGATACACTGCCACAATATAGCTTTAATATTACTTGAGTTCTTTACTTCTAAGTGTTTTAAATGAGTATTAAAATGCTCATTGTGAAGAAGAGTACAAAAATAAGAGCTGTTGCCACTTGCCTACTTCGTTATATGGAATATACAATAATCAGAAAAATCTACTGGATGTACTATCGCTGCGGCTACGGTAGTCACCTCTATCAACTGACCTATTTAGACATAATTTTTTTTGAAATAATAAATGGCTCTAATATGTCTTTCCTCCAACTTTGAATTCATGTGCGCTTTGGAGTACAGACTGAGCCGTGAGGTTAAAGTGCACAGGTAATTAAAGATTTAAGTTGACGCCTGGTACCAGTGACCCCATAGCTGCTGCTTTCCTCGCTCAACGAATAAGTATTTAAAGCTTTAACCTACATAGTAATAATAATAATAAAAAAATAATAAATAGAAAATTAAAATAAATTTAAAAAGTTTGGTACTTGTGGCAGTGTACCGTTAACGCTGGTAGCATTTCCTCGCTGTATTGCGATACTTACGACTTCACTAATAAGATGTTTCAATACGTTTTATTAATACATTTTGTATTTTTTTACTTAGGTATATATAAAATATTAAATATTCATTTGGTTTGATTTAAACGCGCAAGAAGCCGTTTTAATCTGGTACTATATTTAGAGTGAATCGTTTCGTTTCAAAAGAGAATCGAACGTAACGTAATTTGGCAAGCCATTTTGTATTATATAACAAAAATCCGTTTAAAGAAATAAAACCATATTGAATACAACGAAGAAAATTGTACCAGTTGCAATCTTGTTGCAAGCTCGAAATGCATTATATTATAATTCGTGTTGCGCAGGAGTTTACCACAAGTGAAATAACTCTGTAATGAGAGCCTTCAGGTGTTTTCGTGGTAACCATATGCCGTACTTATCATATAATCTTCAAAATTCGTCCACCGATCGTTGATTGGATTGGCAGATGGACCAATGATGTAAACGTCCTTTTTTATCATTATACAGCCATGATGTAGCCATTTATTTAAATCTACAACTTAGCAGAAATAATCGCACTTACATTGTATGTACTAAAATGTAATTTCTTAATCGAATAGAAACAATTAAAGTTTGATTACAATTCCAGAGATTAAATTGTTTACATTTAATTACCGGTACACGAACTAATAATACAATAAATTCATTTACAATGTAAATATTATTAATGTAATTCAAGGAAATCTTAATTTATAAGTAAATTACATTTCCGCATGAACACCAAATTGCATTTTCTAGATATGTTACAATCAATTCTAAAATACATGACAATTACAAAAAATAATAAAAATAACACTTTTAACTACAAATTTTAGCTTTAACTAGTAATTCGCTAAACAACTTCTTTTTTTTTTAATTTCTAAGAACTAGGAGACAATGCACATAGAGAAGGTCCATTGAATTTTTGTTTCTCGCGTCTATAGAATTTAAATAAATTTAACTACCATCGTTCGCTTATGTCCTAAGAATAGATTGAAGTTCATCCAATGGGGCATGGGGTTATTTTCTGACTTAACGAGCCAAACTGGTGAAATTTTTTAATTAATATAAAACTTTAAATTACAAAGTAACGAACGCTCCGTAATACCTGAATAAAATAAATTTGTGGTGCTACAATCATTTTAGATCTGGGCCTCAGATTTCTGTATTTGTTTCATAATCATTTGTCAATCTTATAAGCAAGGCTTCTGCGCCTGACACACGTTGCGACTTTTTGGGGTCTAAGGCAAGCCGGTTTCCTCACGATGCTTTCCTTCACCGTTCGAGCTAATGTTAAAATGCGCAAATAGCCCAGTGGTGCACAGCAAGGGATCGAACCTACGACCTCACGGAGGAGAGTCGCACGCTGAACCCACTAGGCCAACACTGCTCTTACCTGCATGAAGACTTTAAATATTTTTACAAATCAAAGCAAAACCCTAATAGGCACTTTAATAGTAACAATTTACATATATATTTTTAGCGATACCTGACGCCCAACATTTATCAGTAATTACGATACACCTGTCAATCATTAAACGACATTTCTTGTCATTATGATAAAAATAAGCCCTCTTGACAATGTTTCTATGTTAAATTTATTAAAGTATATAGCTGGGTTCTTTCGTCGTCTACAAAGTAAATTGACCGGTTATGTATTTATGGACTAGGGGTAGCTTTTTTCTAGTCGTAACCGAACTAATGACTAAAAGTAGGCTAACTATCTATGTATGTATGATATATAGTATATATTTAGTGAGAAATTAGTGGTTTTAATATGTCCAACAACGTTCCACAGTCAAATTCTATCTATATAGGTACTCGTATATTATTGATGTTCACGCTAGAATTTAAAATAAAAAAATCTATGGCGCTATCTATTTTAGGTCTGGGTCTCAGATTTCTATATCTGTTTCATGATCATTTGTAAATGTAATAGAGAAGTAGATGATCAGCCTCCTGTGCCAGACACACACCGTCGAATTTTTGGGTCAAAGGCAAGCCGGTTTTTTTCAAGATGTTTTCCTTCACCGTTCGAACGAATGTTAAAGGCGCACAGACAAAGTCCATTGGTGCACAGCCAGGGATCGAACCTACGACGTCAGGAATGAGATACGCACGTTAAAGCCACTAAGCCAACTAACAAATACTAGCTATTTGGATTCCTCTGCTACATGATGTTCTTTGTAGTTTTTATTGTATATATATTAGTAATATTGGAATTTTTTTCTAAATAATTTTCCTTATGATAGCATATTTTACAGTCAGCCCGGTCGGAGGGAGAGTCGTCCGGTGAGCAATCCTGCGAGAGCTCGGACGAGGGTGTAGGCCGAGACGCCCCCAGCATCCAACAACACCCACAACACCAGCCCATGCCTCATCCGCACCAGCACAACTTGACACACCACGCGATGAATCATCAGCAAATAAATCTCAACCATCAGCTTCAGCGGAACTCACCGAGACCCATGGAGAGGGAGGTGATCAAGGTGAATAACTTCTACTATCGATAACCGGCATTTGTAACTGGATTCTATCTGTGTTATTTCTGTGATGTTTTCTTCTAGTGATTTTGCTCTGACCGCCTGAAAATTTACTAATTTATATGAGTTTTACGTCCCAAAAGAAAATTAAACCAATAATTCTTAAGTCAAATATATTTCATTTCAATAGTTATATGTTATCAATGTCTATGTTAATTTATGTAATTATTTTTTTTCGAAATCATACTATAAATAAAACTAAAATGTTCTTCAATGGAAATCAAACAAAATTTTACCGTCTTCTTAATTCACAGGTCCGAGACGACTTCGAATCCCTGAAGACATCGCTACACCCACACCTCTCTTCTCTCGCATCTCTGGCCCAAGGCGCCCCTCTTTCGACACCTAGCGTGTTCGCCATGGCAGGTGGTGGTCCTGGGGGATTCTATGCTCCCCCGGCGTTCCTCGCCCCAGCGCCCCCTCCACCAGCTCCGCCGGCAGGGTCTGCCTCGTCCTCCTCTTCCGAGGGCAGCGCCGCAGGGTGGAGCTTTGAAGAGCAATACAAGCAGGTCCGTCAGGTAAGTCATAGTTATTGGTTTGTTATGTGTATTATATGCAAGAGTTTTTAGTAGGTCTGGCGGTCTCTTTTAATCATAATTAGCATTTGTATAAAAATCTTTGGTAAATTTGTCGACCTTAAAACAGCTCCAAATGTTTTTTATATACTTTCATCACTCGGCAATAGAAATTAATTAAAACATCATGATTTGTTAAATGAATGAAAGGACAACATTCAAGGTACATATTTTTGGCTTTGATCACAAACGCCACTTAAAATGAAAAAAAAAATACAACAAACCTAACCTAATGTAATTGGGAACTGAGACAATATCATTTACATTATGCATGTAATATAATCAGTTTTGCATTTTTTTTATGGGGCCTCCTTAATATTACGTGGGGTACATACAAGTCGTAAAGAGCGATATTTTTTTTTACTATTCTTTACATAAACGAACCTTTGAAAATATAACCATTTCATATAAACACATTAAAACACAGCCGTACACAAAGCCGACCATACAATTTGCATAATCGATTTTATGACAAGCGATATGTCAGTATATAGTAAACATTTACCCCAATAACATAATCACTGTACGAGTTCAACCCTTCATAACTGTTGAATAAGTTATCCTTTCGCGTTGACGCGTTTCTTTTGTTATATATTTCATTGAAGGGTTAATGTGTGGGGATTTGTACAAATACTTTTGTTAAGGCTTATGTGGACAATTTTTAATATTTTCGTGATACAATCATCTTTTTGTGTTGTTTTATGTAAGTCTAACGTGATTAATATATATATATTTATTTGAGAACTATATAATTAGGATTACATTAAGTCCATGTCATTATGTTTTACATTAGTAAAACCTCCGATGGCGTGAAGGCTACCTCTGAATTCTTCTATTTACCTCTCATCCTCCCCACCATTTTCTAATTCTCCGGTATGCCTTTTATTCCAGAAAAATAATACCAGGGACGTGGCATTCAATGTCTACTTTATTATATACACTAGCTTTTACTCGCGACTATTTCCTCTACTAAAAATCTTGATATTGCATTGAATTTACATCAAACCTTAAAATAAGGAATCACCTATCTATTCGTGAGAACTGAAGAGCCCGTTCGGTTATTTTTGGGTTTATCGCCTTCATACGTTGTACTTGTATAATTTACTTTATACTCAGTCATGTATGTGGCAAAAATACTACATTAATTACAAAGCGAGCTATCGACAAGCTCTGAACTCGTAATTTTCGTGTCAGCCAATGCACCAGATGGCTTGTATAGTGTTAATTAAAAATTACACCTCTTACATGCTAAAAGGCAGTTTCAACAATACATGAATATATTTTTTAACTCTCAATGAATTACTGTTCATAAAACATAAGACTTTATCCAATAGGTCTCGATGGATGAAACAAAGTTTCCGTTTATGCAGCCTTTTTTTACTTTAAAAAGAGCTTTTCAATTTTTCTTATTAGATTTAACATCCTTGCATAATTGAGGAGTTGTTCTAGATTAGGAATTCTGATAAATGAGCTAGGTCTGGATATCCATAGTTGCTCCTGTCACACTTAGATATCAGCTTGCCTTAGCTTTTATATATTTTTTTTTGATCTCGTGTGTATGCCTATGAGTCACATTAAATCTAGTATTTTATTTTTCTTGTACCAATGTATCAGTGTTAACAAAGCATTTTGTAAATAAGTATTTAAATCTAGAAATTCTAAGGATATATGTTTAATTACACCATTGGATATACTTTTTACATTTATGTCCTTGACTCCAAAAACTATTACCCCAAAAATATAATTATTTTTAATACAATATTGAACCGCATTTATTAGCTCGCAGGTAATTGTCAGCATAAGCGTAGGTCACGAGTGGTCCATACATTTTATACAATGTATTCAACAAAGACTTAATTATTACGTGCCTGAACCCAACTTACGGACAATCGAGTCGTATTTGAGGTAATTGCATCATTCTACATATAATTGTTATTATATATACTGTTGTGTACAACTTTTCGTTAGATAGTAATAAATAATAATCAAAAAAATCAGTGGCGCTACAACCTCAGATTTCTGTATCTATTTCATGATCATTTGTTATAATAGGCAAGTAGGTGATCAGCCTCCTGTGCCTGTCACACGCTGTCGACGTTTTGGGTCAAAGCAAGCCGGTTTCCTCACAATGTTTTCCTTCACCATTCGAGCGAATGTTAAATGCGCACATAGAAAGTCCATTGGTGCACAGCCTGGATCGATCCTACGACCTCAGGGATGAGAGCACGCTGGAGTCATAGGCCAACACTGCTCTAATAATAAAAAAGCCCGTTTATTGGAAATCTTTACAAATTTACAGCTTAGATTTGTTATATTCATTATTTTCTTGTTATAAATAACGTTAAGTTTTGTGGGTTGCCTGGGTTGATACAAAAAAAACACGAAGCAAATATTTGGCAATAAGCCTTATACAAAGTTAACTGTATGCTCTTCATATATGAGAAGTGAAATAGGATTTATAAAATAAAAACAAGTATTAGTTCAAAGGAATTAATTGTATACATATAGGTGGAGCAAACTATTACTTAAAAAAAAAATTACTTTAAATAAAATGATCGTAACTCTACTGTACTGTAAGGTAAATTTTGTTTTATATTATTTTGTACTGAACCTGCGTTTGAATAGATAGGTACTTAAGTAGTAATAATAAGCCTTTATTTGTCCACATCATATTTACATATAATATACGAAAGGAAATATATTATATACAATTTTATTATGCGGCTCCTGTCTGGGAGAAGGCCATTTTTTTTTCCTACCCTCTTTTGTTAGCTACCATTTGTATCTGTTTTTAATCCTTACTGTCTGTTTAATGTAAGTACAACTTGATTTATTAAAAAAAGAGATAATATTTGAATTTATTATTATAATTTGCTACACTAAAGAAAATTTATGCAGCATATCTAAACTCAGAACAAAGTATCATTCAACATTATTGAAATAATGCAATCACGTAAAACTGACATATTTTGTTGCGCGCACGCCGATCGAACATTCTTCATTGGCGAACACTCTAGGGGGCGCCGTACTTTATTGGCTACACGTTTGATTTATATAATTTATCCTGTATATTTTGTCATCAATTTGATGCAAAACTATGCGGATTTATTGTCAGTTTAAACAATTCTCACAGTTTAAAACAAAGTCCCCGTCTGTGTTTGTATTAACGAGATAACTTTAAAACATACCAATAGAAAGCAAGTTCCTGAGGAAGGTTTGGGTTGGTTTTAACCGCCCACCACCACTATGTGGATCCAGCTGTTAGGCGAAATTATTTGTATACATCTTAATATATATATTTCTTCTGTGCGTGTGTATGTGACTGAACTCCTCCTAAACGACTGGACCAATTTTGATGAAATTTTTTGTGTGTGTTCAAGGGGATCTGGGAATGGTTTAGATTCACAAATCAGCCCGACAGATGGCGCTGCAGTCGGTACTTTCATACTTTGTTTAATATCTTAATCGGTTGAAATATCATGCAGGACAACGTCTGTGGGGTCCACTAGTATGACTATGAATTTCGATACACAAAAGTTTTAAGTAACTAGAGACGAAAGTAAAAATGACCTCCATTTATTGCATCCTTTTACTATTTACATTGAGAGTTATATAATATTTAATTTAAGTTTAAGGTCTGAGTTTGTTTGACATGTCCTACCACCGATGAAACCGCTAAATAAAAAACAACGTAATCTTTTAAGTCACATTTATACATCCATTAGATTCGCCTTAAGTGGGCGAGGTAAAAAAATGTTAACTGGCACCCAGCGATTAGCCAAGTGAGCCATCGAGCTGGTATTCGAGTGCTGTGTCTAGACGCTTTATCTGAATAAAGGAATTTGTGACTTACACTTGAAATTTACTGGAAATTGCTTACATTTCTTTCATATAAAAATTCAAACCTAAACACAAAACACATGTGTAAAAAAGTAGAAATCTTTTCATTAGTTAATATACATATTTTATAACATTATTAAGTTTAGTTTTGCTTTTTTAATTAAAACTGTTTTGATCACTAAATAATTATAATTATTTGAGCGATTAAACTTATTAATTATTACTTACTTACTTATTATTATTAAGCACAACAAGACAATTTTGTGGAGATGATATCCTATCACTAGAATATAGTAGCTACTAACTATATTAAAACAAAGCCTATTGTATATGCCTAGCGCTTTCGTTGTATAAATTATATACAACAAAAAACAATTATACAAAGAATATAGTCACAGATGGAATACATAATATGTATATAGAAAAAGGTTCAAATATTTACAAAAGGAAAAAATCAATAAAAATTTAATACGTAATACCTATTTCGGCTGTGCTGTGTGATGTGAAAGTGAGGGTATGTACGTGTGGGGTGTGCTCATGATGCAGGTATGCGCTATGAATATTCTTAATACTCCTAAGCATATTCCGCGATAGCTTAAACAAGTTAAGGCTTAAATAGTGGTCGTTATAAAACTGAGTTGTTTGCATAGTTGGTGTTCACGTGAGGAAAGTCAAACAAAGAATGACTACGAGTCTAGTAAGCAAGAACATGGAAGGAAAATTTTTCTAGGAGCGTTACAGTGAAAGAATTTTTGTGTGTGTGTTTATTCATTACATACAAAATTCAATATAATATTTGTATAGATTAACAGTCTGACATAATATCTCCGAAACGAACAAACAAATTAGTTAAACATTAAAAAGCATTCGAGACTTCCGTACCTAATTAAGGTGTGTTTTGAGTCATTATATATTTTTTTTACGATTTAGATGCGACTATTATCGTTAAATAGACGATTTGTCGCAATTAGCCTTAAAAAAATACATAAATTACGATTAGTTTTATCGGACACTTAACGTCAGCATTCCTTTTACTATTTCGAATTGATTTTAAAACGCTTTCTTGATTGTCCTTGGACTTTTGGTTTGTGACACGGTTTACAGGTCAATAATAAAAAAAATATTATGGTAAGACTTAGCCGACACTTAGCCTG